CGTGCAACCCCGCCCCCGCCCATTGCCCCGCCCACGCAGCAAGGTTCAACGCCTGGCTCTTTCGGTTCGTTCTCGGCCTCCAAGCCCCGCCCCGACCACACCAAGTCCCCGCCCACATAAAAAATAAAGCCTCCCACAAAGCCCCGCCCACCTCCGGGCGCCACCGCCTCCCTTCGTGCTCGCGCGACACGGTCGCCACACCCAGGCCCCGCCCTTCGTGTCCCCTCCCACGGCTCCCACCTTCTCCAGGCGCGGCCCCAGGGTCCTGAGCGCCCCCAAGTGGGCACGAGCCTGCGAGTCCTCCCCACCCACCGCTGCAGAGCTGGCACTGTCATGCCCCGCGCACGTGGCCAGTCCTCTTCCACCCACCTCGGCCACTGTCTTCCGGGAACCTCGCCTGGCTGCTGCTGCTGGGATCGTCCTACTCAGAACCCAACCAGATCCAGGTCACCGTCCCCCAAGATGTCTTGCGGGACTTGCGGGCCGACACGCCCCCGCATGCCTCTGCCCCCGCGCCTGAGGGTGTGGAGATTCCTTTTCCTCGCCTGCCTGCACCACGCCCGACCCGACCTGACAGTGTGGCCTGCAGGAAAGGTCAGCCTCGATCAGGTGAAGGCCAGGGGCCTGCGGGACCCCACTGTGTGCAGAGGGGGGCGACCCAGGGGTGCAGCAGTCAAAGGTTCCCCAAACCTTACCCTGGCCACCCAAGTCACACACAGTGTCACCTGGAAGCCAAGTCCCGACCCAGCGAGGACCTGGCCCCTCAGTCCTTGGGCTTCAGCTCCTCCTGCCCTTGATCAAAGGATTCAGTCAAGATACTTAGGGAATCATGCAGAAGTACAGGTGGAATGGCCGGGCGTGGTGGCACACGCCTGTAATCCCAGCACTCAGGAGGCTGAGGCAGGAGGATCATTGCGAGTTCGAGACCAGCCTGGGCTACAAAGTGAGCTCAAGGCCAGCCTGAACTGCATAGTGAGACCCTGTCTAAAAACAAAAACAAAAACAAAAACAAAAACAAAAACAAAAACCAGAAGTGCAGTATAGATGGAAACCAGGCATGGTAACGCTTGCCTATAATCTCAGTATTCAGGAGGCTGAGGCAGGACAATCACTGAGCTCAAGCCCAGCCTGAACTACATAGCAAGAGCCTGACTCAAAAAATAAATAAATAAAGGAAGAAGAGAAAGAGACTCCAGAGCAAGCAAGCTCTCTCCTCAGGCCACCACTGAGGCCCAGCAGCTGAGGCCTTCACGGCCCCCTCCCCAGGATGTGCCCACCAACCAGTAGGCTCGGCCAACTCTGTGTGCTGGACTGCTGCACAAGCCGGCCTCATCCCACACACTGTGCTTCCAGCATCAAATCAATGCACCCCACTTTCCCTGGCATCCCACCTGGGACAGACCAGAGGATATTTGTTGAATGAATAAATGAACATCACCTGGCCTCTCCTTTTTGTGTCAACTGTACCCCTAATACTCCGTAGTACTCCTCATACTCGCTGTCTACCCAGAGAATTTTCTGACATCAGCAAAGTGAAGTTATGTTTTAGACAGGAAGGGGATGGTCAAGGACTCCTGGGCTCCAGGGCTGCGGTCCTCGATCAGACTGCTGGTTACACGGACATGGTCAATCCATGAAAATTGATCTCGCTGTGACTCAGAGATGTGTGCCCTTTTTCTGCGTACAAATATTTAGAATGCAAAATAGAATTAAAATGTATAAACTGGGCGTGGTGCATACACATAACCCGAACCCTCAGGGAAACTGAGGCAGAAGGATTGCAAGTTCAAGGCCAACTGGGGTAATTTAACAATTCAGTGAGACCCTGTCTCAAAATTAAAAAAAAAAAAAATTATTTGAGGTGGTAGTTTATTCAGGCCTCTCTGTAGCCCAGGCTGGCCTCAGATTTGTGGCAATCCCACTGCCTGAGCCTGCTGAATGCTGGGATTACAGGGCACTACCAGAGATGGGTGTTTTTTGTTTGTTTTGTTTTTTTTGTTTGTTTTTTTCTGGTACCGGGAATCGAACTCATGACCTCGTGCTTGCCAGGCCAGAGATGTTTTTAAAGGGCTGGGGATGTAGCTCAGTGAGAAGGCCCTGGGTTCAGTCCTCAGTACTAAAATAAATAAAGATTTGAAATCCTTGAAAAAGTTCTGGTGTAGCCATGCTTCCTACACAAAGAAAATGTTCTTCTCAGAAAGAGATATGAAAAGCACTATTTTTAGGGTGCTAAAGAAGCATTAGAGGGGTTGGGGTATAGCTCAGGGTACACTGTGTGCACAAGGCCCTGGATTCCATCCTGGGCCCAAAAATAAGAAGGTAAATCTAAGGAAGAAGAATTGTGGGAGGCTAGGAGTTCGTTTGTTTGTTTGTTTTGGTTTTTTGAAGCAGGATCTTGATATGCAGTTCAAGCTGGCCTTGAACTCACTATGTAGCCCAGGCTGGACTCAAAGTCGGGATGAATCTGTCTCAGCCTCTTGAGTGCTGGGACTACAGGTGTGTGCCACCACTCCTGGCTTCATTTGTTAATGTAGTGGGTTTTGTTGTTACTGTTGGGGTTTTTTGTTTGTTTGTTTTCTTTTGTTCTTTGTACCCAGAATTGAACCCAGGGCCTTTCACTTGCCAGGCAGGCACTGTGCCACTTGAGCTACATTCCTGGCAATGTAGTGATTTTTAAATTGTTTTCACTCTTCAATAAAATAAAAACTTGTTATACCGTCTTGCCTAAAATTATATATATATTTTTTAATGAAAAACATCTACTAGTGGCCAGTCTGGAAACTCTACAGTAGATATTTATTACTGATTATTATTTCTCCTTTCAGG